TATTGGTAGAGTAACGACAGTTTCTGGTGAATCTGGAGATTATTTGAATGCATCTGCAGATGAACAGAATGAATCTGGGGATGAGATATATCAGAATTTTGATATCATAGACGAACAAGATCAGGATTCTGGTGAAAGTTTTTATCAAAATCTGAAGGATTTCAGACCTTCTCTAGTCATGCAAGATGTTAGATAAAACATTGATAACATGTAGTAAAGAAATCGTTACATAAAACCCGATGTACGAGACTTGCCAATAAATAAAGTTAGTCATTAGGTGAAAAACTGCCTTTTATTCCGTATTTATTCTACAAGAACCATACTTACAAAAATTTACCATGTTATAAATTATTTAAATATTCAGACATCCATTACCTAGATAAAACTGTCAATGATAGATAAAAGTAATGTTGTTTATATTCATTAAAGTTTTCATATATTTATGATTGATATGGTTAGGCGTCGTCCATAATTCAACATTTTAACAAGCGTTCAGAGAATGCTCTTTTTTCAACCCCTCCCACCCACTCAGAGCGTACTTAAATGTTGAACATCAAGTAAGAAAAGCGTGTCTGGGCCATTAACCCCCTCCACCCAGAGTACGGTTTGTACGCTTATGGTTTACAAATATAGATTGCCAATACACACAATATATAATTAGCATACAACTGCAGTAGCACAATATCTCCCTTCACGTAACTCTGGAAGTTCTTGCCAGCTGTAAGTATCGAATCTAAAGCCTTCCACTGACTTTAAAAAAGTTCCTCTTTCATCTTTGCCTCCCATGACAATCACAGTGTCTTTGACAACTGCAGCCACACATCCTTGCCTCTTATACTTCATCTCTGGTAACATGTGACTCTTCTGGGTCTTGATGTTGTACATTAAAACTTTGTTTAATGGTTTACTGTTACTATCAACGCCTCCCGCTAGGATAACATTGTCATCACCCCACTTGACTGTGGCCATTACACTCACACCGTAAGGGAGGGGTGTTAACTTCTGACATTCATTCTTTGTAATATCGTACAACACAACACTTTTAAGATTTTCCCTATAATTCATTCCCTGTGCTCCTGCCACAATCATGATTTTATCACCAAACAATGCTACACAGTGGTACCATCTTTTCTGTGGCATGGTAGCCAACAGTTTATTGGTGTAAGGTGGAGCAAAGGAAACCTCAGTAATACCATCAGACAATGCACTTTTCTCAGCATCATAACCTCCAATCACTATCAACCGTCCATTATAAATTACACTGCAGTGTCCATGGAACTTTCTAGGTAACTCAGCGGGAAATTTTTTCCAAGTTATGGACTGGTCAACTTGAACCGCATTCATTGATAACGTTTCCATGGACTTGGTTCCACAAGTGGACACATAACCTCCAATGACAAAGACTTGATTGTTGTAATCAACTGAAGATGCAGCTAGGCGACTTTCTCTTAAAGGTTGCAGTGGTGTCCAGGTTCGGTTTGATACACTGAACATTTCCACAGACCTTAAACGTCCACTACCATTTTCACCTCCAGCAATAACAACCTTCGGCTCCATTCCATCAGCTTCTGCAATTCCCTTTCTAATTTGTTCAGCTTGAACTTCAGGCAATGCTTGTGCCATCATTTCCAGTAACTTTGTCATTTCATTTAAACTTTTCTTCATTTCTACATTGTCCGCTTTGAGCTGACGATTGCTTTCTTCCTGCTTGTTAAGTTGCTCTTGAATCAAATGTTCAACTTTTGCAACCACATTCTCTTCCACAGCTTTCCCGTTTCTCTCTAACTTTTCCGCGAGCTCTTTCTCATTTCTGTCCAACTTTTCATCCATTGCTGCCAAATTAACTTTCACTGTATCCATCTCTTGCTTGATGTCATTACAGCTATGACACTGAACTCTGCGTAGTTCACACACAGCTGTTTCATGGTGAAGCAAATCTTGTTTATTCACTTCGAGTTGACAACCGTCGTTAGAGCAGACTGCGGGGGCAAACCCACAGTCTACAACATGCCTTTCAAGATCTCCCAGCTCAATAAATTTCCCACAACCACGATCAAAGAATTCACATCGAATTTTCAACTCCGCCAGTAAGTTTCTTATTCCCCGCGATGCCTGGCTTAGTGTATCGACAGTGAGTGGTTCCATGCATGTCGGGCATGTCTGAAAGTTCATGAGATGAGGGGTGATACAAGCTCGGCAAAAGAGATGCTCATTCTGTCGACACATAACTGGATTCTTTAAAACATTCATACAAATGCTACAATGCAACGTGTGGCCAACGGGATGTTGAAATCGTTCATCTTCATAACCAGTGTCGTATGACGCCATGTTAATTAATCCAAAAATTTTTGGAATAAAACACGCGTCAGCAGGATCAGTATCTTTCAGTCACATTTTGAAAAACCTGCCAGAAATATTTAAAATGAGTCGTTTGATAGAAACGTCTACAATTGATACTGTATGTACGACTTGCACTTTAAGAACAGCATGAATTTAAACCTTGAAGTAAATATAAAATTACATAACATGGCCAACACCACACAAAATTAACCACGCATACAGTATTTGTCTGCATGCTACAAAAATTGGCACGAATATGTTTGATCTAGTGTTATGACTCGCTCACTCCGTTAAAGAAATGATGAAGCCTAACTTGTTTGGGAACGGATGTGGCAGCCACACAAAACAAGGACAAGGTATACGAGAATACAATAGATTTATATATGGATAAACACTGAAATTCCCAAATATAAAATTGATTTTTAAACTTGATTTTGAATAATACTTACCAGTTCCGAGAATGCACCAGATTTTGCTTGCTGTAGAAATAGTAATTTGTTTAGCTGACTGTTCTTTGGACACACAAATGAATTATCAAAGAAGAATAAACTGTTAATAGCCGACGGAGAATGTTTGTGTATGCTTTCGCTTTGAGGTGATCTGAAGTACGCCTAAAATTCTTGAATATAAAATTACGGTAAGCTGTAAAGCATGGAATCTGGAATCTTGGAATCTTATCATATAACCGCAGAATATGTTATTTAATATCAAGATATTATTATTTAATATACTTATGCAACATATTGTTCTGCATGCGATAATTTAATACTTATCCACAGAAGCAGACCTTGGTAATATACTGTATTATCAGTAATATACTATACGTTGTAGAATTTAATTAATATCTCCGTCTTGATGTCAATATATAATAATATCCGACGATATTATTTAGATGCGCGCACAGCGTTTACATTAATATTATGTATTGGCATCAAGATGGCCATATATTATATAAGGTCTGCTTCTGCTAACTCACCAAGTATTAAATTATCGCATGCAGAACAATATGTTGTCTATGTTGCATAAGTATAATAATAATATCTTGATAATAACATATTTTGCGGTTATATGATAAGATTCCAGGATGGATTCCAGGATTTCAAGATTCCAGATGACATGTTTTACAGCTTACCATAAAATTTACACCGAATTGCGACATGCACAAATCCCGTGATTAAAGTTCGCGACCCCATGCTTCGCAGCGGAAATTCATATTTTGTACCGCAAATTTGAATGACATGCGTTTCTTCAATGGAGAATTGAAGTAACTACTTTCGTAAAAATCAAACGTTTTGCATAAAGATTACAACACAATGTGATTTTTCGTCAATCCGAAATATATTTCGAACCGTAAACAGAAGCGTTCTCTCTGAGAGCGTGCTACCTCATATTTAGAAAGTTAAAACTAGTATATTAACAATAATCTTTAATGTACAGTGATTGCAGAATGGATATCTAACGCAAACTATAGAACTAGAACAACACTATTTCTGTTAAACAATAGCTTGCCTTGCATATCAGTGAGATCTGAACATTACTAACAAGTGATAACAGTGCTTTACTTTATAGTATATATAGTACTTGTATTTTACAGTTACTAGCTTCCACTTGTATAGTGCCCATTTCCATGGAATCATTTTCCTTTAAGCTACGTTCCTTGCTTGTCCTAATTTCCTCGACTCCTACAAGGACGTTTCCCCAGACATTTCGGTGGTGGGCAATTCCATTGTAATATGCTCAAGACTTTCACTATTCCGCCCCGCAAGTGATAAGCTGGTATCGTTTTTGCCAGTAATGGGTAATGTTTGAAGGTTTATGGCTGTAGTTTCGGTCTTATCTGGGAAGTGTTCGCCTGTACTACTTTGCGATGTATTTTCCGACTCAATAACGAAATTAGCAACGCCTAGGGTCTCTTTAGACAAAGCTGTAAAACTTGGCAAAGGATTGTTACAATTGTTATATATACCAGAAGATACTGCGCCTGAAACAGCGTGATTTATAGAAATGTCCTTTACACCTTCACTAGGTTTTCTATTCACCAGCTGTTTACCAATAGATTCAGAAACTCTGGTAATATTACTAGATCGTTCATGTTGGTTGCCGCTGGTACACACAACCGACTGCCCAGAAGCGCCTGCAGTACTTTGGTTCACACAACAAGAAGGCTCAACTAATTGAATAGATTCATCACACAACGATTGAGGAGCTAAAGCCTCGAGCTTACCAGAAACTTGAATATCATTAAAATCTCCAACTTTCGCGGTAATTTTACTCGGATTTTCAATTTTGTTCACATCTCCATTGTCCGCTATATCTTCAGGCGAGGTTAATAGATCAACGACTACAGGTTGCCTGACATCTGATGGTTGGGTGTCCATTCCAGGGATTTGGTAAGGCATTTGGAAATTGACAGGATACGGTGATAGGGGTCGAAGTTCACCCATTTGGTAAAACCTTTAAAAAGATAAGCATGGGAAAAATGAAAACATCAGTAATGAAACCAGAGGACTTCTGAATACATAATTTATTCAAGATAACATTACAAAAATCTTGAGATATATATATATATATATATATATATATATATATATATATATATATATATATATATATATATATATATATATATATATATATA